AGGGCTCCGCGAGGCTGCAGGGGCGCTCCCTGCCCCGTGTCCAGGGTGACTCCCCCCTGCAGGCAGCTCCTCCCTAAGAATTACCTAGAGAGAACTAACCCGAAACCAGTGGAGGTACGGTCTCACCAACGGCTGAAGTTAAGAGAAGAACTGGGAGCCTGGCAGTTGTCTGTCCGTAGGGAGCAGCACGTCAGTGTACCTCTACTTTTGGCAAGGCCACCCTGACCTCGGACGGAGCAAGATCGTCAGGGCCGGTCCCCACCATAAGTCACAAACAGATGAGCGACTGCATGTGAGAAACAGACTCTGACACCAGTAGCACCATAAGAGAAAGCCTCCTTACATGTTAGGCATGGCATGGCAGTCTGCTGCAAACTAGAAGGAGAATTTCTCACAGGACCCCCCTCTGTACAGAGTGCTATTTCCTTTGAAAATACTGGTGATGGTTTGAAGGGCATTTCACAAAACCTAGTTATCACCTAGAAAAGCTGTATTTATGCATGCACGTGTGCATGTCAGCCTAACACAACAAAGAAATGCTAATCTTTCAAAAAAATCAAGAAACTGTTCTACCAGCCAGATCTATTTTAGTAAATACAATGAGCGCGCAGGACAAAGGTGGTAAGGCACAGCCTGTGCCCAAACTGCTGCCTAATCTAGCCAGAAAAATGGCTTCGCCAGTATTCCCCCTTTCCTTTTGGGAATGCTCCCTGGTCCCTGCTGCTCTCAGAATCATGCCCAAGTACTGCCTGGAAAGTGTTACAACCGGCCAAACCTGTACGCATACACAAACAGGGAAGAGGACATACACACAGTTGAGTCAGTCAGTGCCACAGCCTGAGCACATACAGTGACCATAGTTAGACGGCAGATACCAATACCCTGTCTTAGCTCTGGGGTACTGGGATGGTGAGACAACTGTTAGGATAACTTAGTGTTGTTACTCTGCAAGAACTCAAACCCCAACACAGGTCTGAATATAGGATTTTTATCAAATAACCTCAGTATCTTTTCTTTTCTCTGCACAGCATCACATCATTTGGAAGAAAATAACATTCTAGATGGGTATTTTCTTCCAAATGAAGTAGATCTTCATCAGGTAATTGTATTGCCAAAAGCAGAATGGGAAAGGATCCAGGACAATCTTGGCAGCACAACTAGAGAAGCAGCACGCATCCTCGCTGAGAAGAAAGAACGAGAAGAAATGCACTTACGCTCCAAAGTGGCTGTAAAAAACTGGCCCAATACCATTATGGTCAGTACAAGATACATTTGTAAGCAAGGGGAGTCATTTTCATATACGCAAAACCCCTCATAGTAACATTTATAGCTGTACTCCCTTTCACATTTGGTTTTAAAGATGTATTTTATCGAAACTCCATTTAAATACATCAACATTTACATTTTTTTAATTAACGCTAAAATGCAAAATTTAAAAAAACCCCAAGCATTGAATACATAACCTTCAGAATGATTTATACATTTTTAATCCATGGGGTCATTTTATCTGCACTGTAGGGCCTGGCACAACGGAAACTTAAAGCCAAAAAATTACGTGAAGAAAGGGAAGAGGAAGAAAGAAAGCTACTTGATTTGGAAGAAGAACAGTTCCAAGCAGCAAAACGGAAGGAGGCTATTGATCGTGCAAAAACCTACCTATACTATCAGAACGAAAGAGTGAAAGGGTTGCATGTTTGTTGACAACTTATAATTTTATAGTCAAATTGTACTGAATTTCTTTAAACACTTCTGAACATGCAAATTACTTTAAACGTTCTCTTGCAGAGTGCACTTCTACTTGCTGAGGTCCTAAAAGAAAGAGATGCTCAAATTGAATTTAAAAAGTTAAAGTCAGATGTTAACAAAAAGAAGGATGAAAGAAAGGAACATGAACATAAAGAAGCTATTCTCAGAGAGCAAGAAAAGGCACATCAGCATTATATGAATGAACAGGCACTACGCAGAGATCAGCTGGAACAGTAAGTGATAATTAATCAAAAGTAACCCTACTTTATTATGCACTTAAATTATTTTCTCATAAATACATTCTATAAGGTTTTTACAGAAACTTACTAATATTTTGATTCACAAATGTAATACTTTAAAAGAAAAATCCAGTGTGCCACAAAAGACCTTGCATGAAAGGGAAAAGATATTTTTATTTGCCAACAGTCTGCATGTAAAATCGCCTCTGGTAGGCATCAATAGGTTTCAGTCAAATTATTATTCAAAATTTGTTATGGAAAGTGTATTTTAACTCAGTTTTGGTCCCAGAAAAGGAAAAGGTTAAAACAGATTTTCCATTTGCCTGTAAGTAGATTCCAAAGAACGCATCAAGAGAACGCATCACTGCCACCTCCATTCTTTCTCTCAGCTCTTACAGAAACCCTATGGAGGGGTCCACAGCGGTATTTTTAGGACTGGCCCTGGTGATCTGATAGAAAGAATCAAATTTCCTGAGGCAGAGGAAGGGTTCAAAGTCTGGTCTCACATATTTCAGGTCCAAAGCATAAATCCTTGCAGAACTTAATATGGAACACTACCAGTTTACACTGTTGCCTGCGTGCCCAGAAGGAGAAGTATAGATACGGTGGGACTTACTGGGGAAATCTTGTTCACTGAGGATGCTGCAGAGACAGACCAGAACATTATGAATGCACTGGTGCTAACAGGTCACCCAGATAAAAATTGTTACCACGGCAAGCTGTGAGCATACCATAGCTGATTTCTAGTCAGAGGACTGAGGGCTCCCATTACAAACAATGATGCTATTTTTCACCTCTGATATTCTACCCACCTTCAATTCAAAGTACCACATCCTTCAGTGCAAGGTACCTATGGTTACGCAGAATCTGTTCATTACTTCATGTGTTCCCTGGCCCATTTATTCAACTGCTTTTCCTGATTCAGAATAAGGGAACGCAAGCGTCAGGCAGATCTGGCCAAGCTGGAAGACAAAAGAGAAGGAGAACAAATACAGAGACTGAACCAATTGTACCAATTGGAAATTCAGAGAAAAATGGAAAAGGAACAGGAGGAAAAAGCTGAACGCCAGAGGCTGTATCACGTAAGTAACAGGAAAGCAGACAGTTCAAAATGCTTCACCTTGTCTGCCTGCAGTGAAACAATAGCATTCATATATCTAAACGGGCCTACTGGCAACAGGAGGTCTATGGTTAAAAAGTCTGCTGTTGACATCAAGGAATATTCTCCTTGACTTGAGATCTGGATTTAAGTTCCACATACCTGCTGGTTTAAGCCCATTTTTCTTTGTTAGGAAGAGGGAACAACCTGAGTCTGAATATAACAGTATCTTTTTAACTTGTCTTTCCCTTTGTGATTGTAGAGGTTTAGAAATTTAGTTAAGATGTGCTGCCTTCTCTCTTCACCTTTAAAGGTGTCTTGCTAAATGCAAACTAGAAATGTCTCAGAACAGTTCTGGCCAGCATACAAAAGAATTTGTGTTTTTACATAAATTACAGAAAACTCTTCTTCAGCTATGATTTGGATGAAGCTCTCAGATGAGGATAGTTCTGGATGAGGTGGGCCAGGAACAGCAATCTGCATATGTGTTGCTGGCGGCTGCAGCATCCCATTCCTCTCAACGTCCCCCTCTCTCACATGTGTGAAGTG